ATATTAGAAACCACCACTATATGCTGTTGGGCCAGCCAAGAAGATTTTAATTAAGGTGAGTAAATAGATGGCATAAGAACAATTAATCACAAAATGTACTGCATTTTCCACTTTCAGTTTAGCAGAAAGAGGAGTTTTGCTGTGTGAGTATAAAGAGTACAAAGGTTAGCTGCTGAAGCATCTCGTCATTTGAGCAGGTGACATTAGGAGGTAGTGTGCAAACTTCCCCTTTACTTCGCTGGTGAAGGGACAACTGCATCTTACCAGAAGCCCTGGATCCAAAATATACGTACAGTCAACTGTCCTGATATCCAGTGTCAATATTCTCTCCAAATAGAAAGGCCTTGATCCTGACTTATTCATAATTGTTTGGAAGGAATTTTTTTTAATCTAAATTCCCCAAAAGAGTTATTGTCTCTGATACTGACAAAGTTGTTGACACAGTCCCAAGCTTGCTCCAGTCTAGAGCAGAGAAGTGAAGTGCTGCTTCATCTAAACTTAGCTAACATCAACAGAAATGAGTCTGGAGCTGAGAGAATGTCGCACGTTATGAGGTAATGTGTGCACACACACATGCTGCCTGCTTACCAGATGGTCCCCCAGACAAAGAGCAGACACAAAGCTAAGAGAAGATGCCAACAATGCAAACACCTTCCCACTATCCACTCCTTACCTTCTCCTCCCCTTTGATCTCTGTCACACAACTCACTGTCCACTAGAGATTTCCCTGGTTCTTAAGAACTGTTCAAGTAAGATTTTTGTCAGAGAAGACATGAGTTAGCTGAGAATAAATCACTTGAATATTGTTTGATAATCTATTTCATCAAGGTTTGTTGGGTTTTGCAGGATTTTAAGATTTAAAACTGACTGGATACAAACAGGGAACAGTGTGTTTTAAGAGTTTATTGATTGATGGTCTTTTTAATCTTGGAATGTGAGCTTACTTTGTTTTAACTGTGATTTTATTTGTTGTTTCCCACTAAGCTATGTAAAATAGTCCTAAAAAACTTACTGTCTATTTTCTAACAAGCTAAATTAGCTTTGCTCTCTTTTTCAAGTCAAGTCGTCAAGTCAAGTAAAGTCAAGTCAAAATTTATTTATATAGCACATTTACAACAATCTCAGCTGACCAATGTGCTTCACAACAAACACATCACAGGTGGATAAATGATAAAATAGAAAATAAAATTAAATTTATTAAAATAATAAAACAAATATAAAATTGTCAAAAATACCACAAACTAATAGTATGAATAATAACCAAACACTTAAATTTTAGCTGCAGCAATTTTTCTTCCATTCTTTACCTTTTCTCTTTAGCAGGTGTTGAAAATGGACGAGTTTTCTGGTTGGACTTAAACTGACTGAGAAATCTTAACCGACAGAGGAAGGCTGTTCCACAGCCTGGGTGCTACCACAGAGAAGACTCTGTCCTCTCTGGTTTTTAGCCTAGCTGTGGGGACAGACAATAAAAGCTGGTCAGTTGATCATAGGGCTCTGGGTGGGTTTTACGACTGCAAGAGCTAACTTATGTAAGAAGGGCCCAAAGAGTTTAAACACTTAAAACCACATTATTATGTCTAAGCAGGGGACTGCATTGACCAAACACCAAAATCTCAGGGTTTTTTTCCTTATTTAGGTTAAAAAAATTTGCTCTTACCCATGCCCGTACATCCTGAAAACAATCCTGGAACATCTATATAGCAGACTGCTTGTCATTTGTTGTTAAAAGTAAATATTTGATTGTCACCTGCAAAACAATGAAAAGAGACTTTGTGCTTTTTAAAAAAAGGCAAAAAGAAGAGGCACTAATATTGACCCCTGGGGAGCCCCATATTTCAGAGAAGAAGTGTGGTGCACCTAGATTTTTGCTTGATTTACAGAAAAACTGCTATTTGAAAGAAAGGATGTCTTTGAGCAATGGCAAACATAGGTAACACATGAGACTCATAAATAATTAATATTATTAGTTAGTTAGTTGAAGTTTAAAAGAAATTGTCTGAAACAGCAAAATACAAGGATCTTTGTGTCCATTTAGACCACCATCTTGTGAGGGGCAACATGCTGTAAGTCCACATCTGGGTATCTAAATTACTAAATTAGACTCAGTCACCATGGTGGCTTATCAATCTATTAAGAATCAAATATTGTAAAGGTTATTGATATTTTTTAAAAGTTTTATTGACTGTAATGGGATTTATTTCAGAGGAGTGAGACTGGAAAGTGGGTTATGAGTGAAGGGGAAGACATGTTGCAAAAGGTTATCGGGTCAGGACCCCAACCTGTAATTGGTTTATTGAGGACTAAGGCCTCCATACTTGAGTCCTGCTTTATCCCTGCATCACAAGAGCATCCAAGGTTATACTTTTTTAATTCAGTAAATTATTAAAAGAATCTTTACTCTAAATATGTTTTACCTCCACCTCTATTTTGCATTGTGAAATGGAGCTAAAGTGGAAGTTCAGGCTGGAAGACTCTGCCTGTTCGCCCTCACCGGCGCGTTCAATC